AGCAGCAGCAGCAGCAGCAGCAGCACCTGCCGCCACCACCCCTGCTGCTGCTGCTGCTGCTGCTGCTGCTGCTGCTGCTGCTGCTGCTGCTGAGTTTGCTGCCTACCTTGCCGGGCCAGTGCCTGGGCACGTGGGTCTTCTGTTCATTTTTGGGGACAAATTTTTTCTTCAGGGGATCTTCCCCTCTGTACAAAATGCTGTGCACGTCAGCAGCAGACATTTTCAACTTGCTGCTGCTGCTGCTGCTGCTGCTGCTGCTGCTGCTGCTGCTGCTGCTGCTGCTGCTGCTTCTGCTGCAGTTGTTACGGCTTCTGCGGCTGTTGCTGTTGCAGCTGGTGTTGCTGCTGCAGCTGGTGTTGCTGCTGCAGTCGTTAGTGTTGCTGTTGCTGTTGTTGCTGCTGCTGCAGCCGGTGCTGCTGCTGCAGTTGTTACTGCTGCTGCTGTTGTTGTTCCTGCTGCTGCTGTCGTTGCCCTTGCTGCTGCTGCTGTTGGCGCTGCTGCTGCTGCTGTTGGCGCTGCTGCTCCTGTCGCCCTTCGAACTGCTTGGCCAACCCTATCTGCGCGGCGCTGCTTCGAGTGAAGACACCCGCTGCTGTTGCTGCTGCTGCTGCTGCTGCTGCTGCTGCTGCTGCTGATTTGCTGCAGCGCCGGCCACTGAAAGCCACGGGCCAGCCAGAGAGGCTGCGGCCCTCGCAGCAGCGCAGCCCCAGCGGCCGAGGCCCCGGGAGAAGCTGGAGTGAATTAAACTGCGATAATAAATAAAAATAAATAAAAATAAATAAAAATAAATAAAAATAAATAAAAATAAAAGAAAAATAAAAGAAAAATGAAAGAAAAAGAAAAAGCGGAAAAGAATTTGCACAGAAAGCGCGGAAAGCTGCAAAAGGATGCAATAAACTGCTGCTGCTGCTGCTGCTGCTGCTGCTGCTGCTGCTGCTGCAGAAAAGCTTTTAATAAATTCGCCACAAATTAAAAGAAGGCAAAACCAAAGAAGGCGACAGCCAGCAGCAAGTGCTGCTGCTGCTGCTGCTGCTGCTGCTGCATGCAGCGCGCTGGGGCTGTTTGCTGCTCACGAGGTGACCAGGGAAGAAACAAAAGCGCTCGCGAGCTTTTTTCTCTTTTTTATTTAATTAAAATATAAAATTAAACTTTTAAATGAATTAAAATGCAAAAAGATTTATTTAAAAGAAGAGAACTTCAACTCCGCCGCCAGCTGCTGCAGCAGCGGCTCTCTGCTGCAGCAGAACTGACCACTGGGGCGCAGCAGGTGACCACTCGAAGTCCACTTTGCTGCAGAGCACTTTACCTTAAATAAACACTTTTTATGTTTTGTTTATTAACTCCGACTAACACAAGCAGCAGCAGCAGCAGCAGCAGCAGCAGCAGCAGCAGCAGCAGCAGCTGCAGCTGCACGCTGCGGTTAAGGGAAGCCCTTCCTTGCTGCGCTGCTTCTGTCCACTGCCGTGTACAGACAGCACCAGCTGCTGCAGCAGCTAAGGCTGTCAGCTGCAGCTGGCTGCTGCTGCAGCTGGCTGCTGCTGCAGCTGGCTGCTGCTGCAGCTGGCTGCTGCTGCAGCTGAGCTGCTGGTATGGGGCAGGGCTGCCCTGGGAATTGGGGATGAGGGGTCTGCAAGTGTTCGGCAGCTGCGGCCGGCGAAGAGCAGCAGCAGCAGCAGCAGCAGGTGGCGCTGCTGCTGCTGCCGGGCGTTGCTAACAGCAGCAGCAGCAGCAGCAGCAGCAGCAGGTGGCGCTGCTGCTGCTGCTGGGCGTTGCTGACAGCAGCAGACTCGAGCTGAAGAAGAGTTGACAAGGCGCCAGCAGCAGCAACTCCGCACTAAGTTGCGAGCTAAAAAGAAGAACAAATAAATAAATAAATAAATGAATAAATAAATAAATAAATGAATAAATAAATAAAGAAATGCGAGCTAAAGAGAAGAACAAAAGAAAGAAAGAAATAAAAATAACTTTCAACAAACTTTGCGAAAAGATTCGGATCTTCGGAAGCAGCTGTACATACACCCGAGCGGCCGCGCCCGCGGCCCGCAGGCGCGGAGCCAAATGCATGCAAACAGGCGGAAGTGAAGAAATAAAGAAATAAATGAATAAATAAATAATAAATATTTAATTATTTTGCATAAATGCATTTATTTAAACTCCAAATTCCCCATTTTAATGCACTTTTCCCAACTGAGCCTCGCATGCACCTGTCGAGGCACAGCCAGTGCACTGTGCATGCAGCGACACAAATCCCCTTCGGCTGCAAGACCTGCAGCAGCAGCAGCAGCAACTGCTGCTGCTGCTGCTGCTGCTGCTGCTGCAGCAGCTGCTGCTGCTGCTGCAAACCATCGCCTCAGCGCGTGTCAGGCACTTCTCTGTGGCTCTTTTGCTGCTAACTGCGCGGCCCAGCTGAAGTGCCCAAACTATTTGCTGCTGTCAAATGCAGAACATTAAACGACAGTGATAAAAGAAGCAGCAGCAGCAGCTGCTGCTGCTGCAGCAGCTGCTGCAGCTGCTGCTGCAGCAGCAGCAGCTGCTGTCGGCCTCAGCGCCGCCGCCTGTCCTCCTCGGCGCTCCGCTTCTTCCGCTGCTGCTGCTGCTGCTGCTGCTGCTGCTGCTGCTGCTCCGCCTCGGCTTCCCGCTGCAGCTCGTGTGCGTGGCTCACGCTGCGGTCGTTGTGAGTTCTTGGAATTTTTCTTTCTCTTTCTTTTTCTCTTTCTCTTTCTCTTTCTTTTTCTCTTTCTCTTTCTCTTTCTCTTTCTTTTTCTCTTTCTCTTTCTTTTTCTTTTTCTCTTTCTCTTTCCCTTTCTCTTTCTCTATCTCTTTCCCTATCTCTGTGAGAGCCGTGGTGGTTCGCGCTGCTGCTGCTGCTGCTGCTGCTGCTGCTGCTGCTGCTGCTGCTGCTGGTGGCGTCGTCGTGTTTGCTGCTGCGGTAGGCGCCTGCGTCTGGGTCTGTTCTGCTGCTGCGGCTGCTGCGCTGCTTCCCGTCTGCTGCAGCAGCAGCAGCAGCAGCAGCAGCAGCAGCAGGCTTGGCCTCCGCGTTTCGCAAAGACTCAAAAACCAACTTCACATGCAGCATATTAAGATTCTTCACTTCATCAAGTCCCCGCACTCTCTCATAAAACCTTAGCCAAACACAGCAGCAGCAAATTCACCCAAACCCTAAACCCTAAACCCTAAACCCTAGATGCAGCTCAACAGCCACGCGGCTGTTGATCACCGCAGCAAAAGTGCAGCAGCAGCAAACACCCCCTCTGTGCTGCAGCACCGCCACCACCAGCAGCAAAGCTCGCAGCAGCAGCAGAACTACCAGCAGCAGAACTATGCCACAAGCAGCAGCAGCAGCAGCAGAACTCGCAGCAGCAGCAGCAAATCTCGCAGCAGCAGAACTACGAGCCGCAGAACAACGCCACGACCCCCAGCAGCAGCAGCAGCAGCAGCAAAAACCGCAGCAGCAGCAGCAGCAAAACTCGCAGCAGCACAACCATGAGCCGCAGAACAACGCCACGACCCCCAGCAGCACCCCCAGCAGCAGCAGCAGCAGCAGCAGCAGCAGCAGGAGCTGACTGGGTGAAGGAAAGGGCCTTGTCCCTGAGATCAAGGCCTTCTTTGTCGGCCAGTCTTTTGAAAAAGTGCTTCAGCCGCTCGTGCTGCTGCTGCAGCTGCTGCACTGCGTCGCTGAAGAGCTCTCTGGGGGTGCTGCCGCTTTGGCCGACCATTGCCAAGTAGCGGCTGTCTTTTTCCACGCGCCGCGCAAAGCCCACCCACTCGCTTTTGCTGCTCAACTCCCCTAAAACGCATCCAAAACGCATGCAAAACGCATGCAAATCGCATGCAAAACGCATGCAAATGCATGCAGATGCATGCAAAATGCATGCAAAATGCATCCACGCAAAAAACGGGAAAAATGCATGCAAAATGCATGCAAAAAGCATGCAAAATGCATGCAAAATGCATGCATGCAAAATGCATGCAAAATGCATGCAAAATGCATGCATGCAAAATGCATGCAATAGGCGTGCAATGCGGGTGATGTTCGTGGGGTTTAGGGGTTGTTTGAAGCGCATATTTGAAAGAGCTGCTTCAATCGCTGCTGCTGCTGCTGCTGCTGCTGCTGCTGCAGCTGCTGCTGCTGCTGCTGCTGCAGCAGAACGCGGCTTTTTCGCTGCCGCTGCTGCTGCTGCTGGTGCAGACCGCGGCCTTCTCGCTGCCGCTGTTGCCGCAGCAATTCGCGGCTTTCTAGCTGCCGCTGCTGCTGCTGCCACTGCTGCTGCTGCTGCTGCTGCTGCTGCTGCTGCTGCTGCTGCAGCAAAACTCACCCTTGTCCACAGCTTCCTGCAGCAGCTCCCTAAAGGCGTCTCTGCGCTTTCGCTCGCGGCGGAATATTTGGGCGCGTCTTTGCTTCCGCTCCTGCTCGTAGCCGTGGCGCACCCACTCTTCCCAAACCCTGCAGCAGCAGCAGCAGCAGCAGCAGCAGCAGCAGAAACAGCAGCAGCAGCAGCAGCAGAAACAGCAGCAGCAGCGGGAAGCAGGGTGAGTGTGTGAAAGGAAGCTGATAATTTAATTAATTTAAAAATAAAAAATATTTAAAAACAAATTAATTTAATCATTTGAAATCAATTGCTGCGGATGGGATGTCGGCGCTGCTGCTGCTAGAAGCAGCAGCAAAACTAAAAGCAGCAGCAAAACTAAAAGCAGCAGCAAAACTAAAAGCAGCAGCAAAACTAAAAGCAGCAGCAAAACTAAAAGCAGCAGCAAAAGCATTCGATTTGCTGCTGCTTTGTGTTTATTTAATAATTAAAAAGCAGCAGCAAACGCTGCGGATTTGCTGCTGCTTCTACTTAAGTAATTGATAAAGAGCAGCAGCAAAAGCCTTGAATTTGCTGCTGCAGTTATTAAATAGTAAGCAGCAGCAGCAGCAGCAGCAGCAGCAGCAGCAGCAACAGTTTTGGATTTGCTGCTGCTGACTCACTGCAGCACATCAATCTTCATCATGTTTTGCAGCTTCGGGTGCGAAAAAAGCTGCTCCCGGACTTCAGACCATCTGCAGCAGCAGCAGCAGCAGCAGCAGCAGCGGCAGCAAAAAAGAGTCTTTTATTTTCAAACTCAAATCTTTAAATCTTTTCTAATTCATCAAAGATCCACCAATAAGGCTTTTCCTCAGGAACTATCCGTCACAGCTGCTGCTGCTGCTGCTGTTGCTGCTGCTGCTGCTGCTGCTGTTGCTGCTGCTGCTGCTGCTGCTGCTTTGTCTCACTTTTTCTGAAATGCGAACTCTGTGGGGTTTTGCTCGAGGATCTCCTCCAGCTGCAGCAAATGGAAGCAGCAGCAAATTAAAAAAACATTTTAAAGTTTTAAAAGTTTTAAAAAAGTTTTAAAAGTTTTTAAATGCTTTTTAATTCATTTTATTCAACTTCTGAAGTCTTTGAAATTCAAAAAGGCAAAAGGCCAGCAGAAATGAAAATAAAAAGACAAAATAAGGAAATAAAAAGACAAAATAAGAAAATAAAAAACAAAAATAAAAGACTTTTGAATTAAAGAAAACAAAAAAGCAGCACTTTGGTCCAACTGGAATTAAAACAAAAGAGGAAAACAGCAGCAGCAATCCACAGCAGCAGCAGCAGCACGAAGTGGAAATGAACTAAAGCAGCAGCAGCTTCTCAAAAGCCGAAATGAAACAACAGCAGCAAACAGCAGCAAAATTCGAAAACAGCTGCAGCAGCAGCAGAAACAGCAGCAGCAGTGACAGAAACAGCAGCAGCGCAAGCAGCAGAGCAGCAGCAACAGCAGAAACAGCAGCAGCAGCACAAGCAGCAGAGCAGCAGCAGAAACAGCAGCAGCAGCACAAGCAGCAGCACAAACAGCAGCAGCAGAAACATGAACAGCAGCAGCAGCAGCACAAGCAGCAGCACAAACAGCAGCAGCAGAAACATGAACAGCAGCAGCAGCAGCAGCAGCAGCAGCACAAGCAGCAGCACAAACAGCAGCAGCAGAAACATGACCAGCAGCAGCAGCAGCAGTAGCACAAGCAGCAGCACAACCAGCAGCAGCAGCAGCAGCACAACCAGCAGCAGCAGCAGCAGCAGCAGCAGCAGCAGCAGGGGCTTACCAGGGCGACGTCCTGGCGGCGGCGTTGTTTGACTTTGTCTTTGAACATTTGTTCGTTGTCGAACATCCACTCTTGAAAGAATTCATCTCTTTCGCTTTCCTGCATCCAAGTCCACCACTCCTCGAAGTGAAACCGGTCCGCCACGTCGCTGCAGCAGCAGCAGCAGCAGCAGCAGCAGCACAGGATGCAGCAGCAGCAGCACGAGTGCAGCAGCAGCAGCAGCACAGAGTGCAGCAGCAGCAGCAGAGTGCAACAGCAGCAGCAGCACAGAGTGCAGCAGCAGCAGCAGCACAGAGTGCAGCAGCAGCAGCAGCACAGAGTGCAGCAGCAGCAGCAGCACAGAGTGCAGCAGCAGCAGCACAGCAGCAGCAAATCAGATGGAGCAGCAGCAGCAAATGGAGCAGCAGCAGCAAATGGAGCAGCAGCAGCAAGCCTGACACGCAGCTCATTTGAATGCCCTTTTGCTGGTTTGCTTCTTCTGTGCCCGCAGCAGCAGCTGCTGCTGCTGCTGCTCCGGCGCGATCAGCAGCAACTGTTGCATTAAAAGTGATAAACAGCAATTATAAAAACAAATCAGCAGCAGCAGCAGCAACAGCAGCAGCAGCAACAGCAGCAGCAGCAGCAGCAGCAGCAAAAGAAGACCCACATGTATGTCGTCTTGAAACTCAGCTCTTTCCAGGCCAAGAGATTCTGAACCATCAAGTCCTTGGCCTGAAGAGAAAATACTTTTTAAATATTTTAATTTAAATATTTTAATTTAAATATTTTAATTTAAATATTTTAAATTTAATATTTTAAAGTAATTTAAATGTTCAACTCCCCACATCAAGATGCTTTTGCTGCTGCCACGCAGCCACGGACAGCAGCACAGCAGCAACCCCAACAGCACTGCAGCACCAACAGCAGCAGCACCTCACAGCAGCAGCAGCAGCACCTCACAGCAGCAGCAGCAGCACCTCACAGCAGCAGCAGCAGCACCTACAGCAGCAGCACATCACAGCAGCAGCACCTCAAACCACAGCAGCAGCAGCACCTCCCAGCAGCAGCATCAGCAGCACCTTACAGCAGCAGCACCTCCCAGCAGCAGCATCACCATCAGCAGCAGATCACCATCATCAGCAGCACCATCATCAGCAGCAGCAGCATCAGCAGCAGCATCATCAGCAGCAGCATCAGCAGCAGCATCATCAGCAGCAGCAGCATCAGCAGCACCATCATCAGCAGCAGCAGCAGCATCAGCAGCACCATCATCAGCAGCAGCAGCAGCATCAGCAGCAGACCTTTTTTCGTTTTTGTCTTTCCTCTTCTGCTGCTCGTTTGCCTCTGGAGCCCATAAACTCGGCGAAGGTTTGTTTGCGTTCGCCGCGGGTGAGCACGGAGAAGCAGCTCCACCTGCGGCCATTTTCGACGCATTTTCTCCAATTTTTGTCCTTTTTGGTCCTTTTTAATGCGTTTTGAAGCTTTTTAAAGCTTTTTAAGGCTTTTATTTGCATTTTTAATGCAAAATGGAGCTTTTTTAACCCCAAATGGAGCATTTTCAGCCCCGAAAGTCCAACTTCCAATTCTTTGCTCGACAAGACGCCAACAGCCGCCGCGCGAGCTGCTGTGCAGCTTCAGCAGCAGCAGCTGCTGCTGCTGCAATCCCTTTATTTATTTATTTATTTATTTTATTTTATTTATTTTATTTATTTATTTTGTTTTATTTATTTTATTTGTTTTATTTTGTTTTGATCTTCACAACACCCACCTGCGGTCGGACTCGAGGATCTTGGAGGCGTTTTCCCAGCTGATCCGCGGCGGGAACTTCTTCAGCTCAAACAGCTTCTGCAGCAGCAGCAGCAGCAGCAGCAGCAGCAGCAGCAAAGGGACACAGCACACCAGCTTCAGCGCCTTGGGTCTTCTTGTCTCGCTCCTGCTGCTGCTGCTGCTGCTGCTGCTGTTTCTTCTGCTGCTGCTGCTGCTGCATGCAGCGGCTTTTCCCCTTGAGAAGGCGCTTTCCGCGAATAAAAGACCCCATGCAACTCCTGCTGCTGCTGCTGCTGCTGCTGCTGCTGCAGGGGAGAACTCACCACGAGGAACGTTTTCGCTTCTTCTTTGCTTTTAAACTGCGGCCAGTCTTCCCTCTCTTCCTTCAGCGACTGCAGCAGCAGCAGCAGCAGCAGCAGCAGATCCCACGCCGCTGCGAGGCGCCCAAAGACCCCACCCCCAAACAGCAGCAGCAGCAGCAGCAGCAGCAGCAGCAGCGTGCGTAAAACAGCGAGGAAAGCGCGTGGAGAGCTGGGAAAAAGGGGAGCAGCAAGCCCGAAGCGCGCAGCAGCAGCAGCAGCAGCAGCAGCAGCAGCAGCAGCAGCAGAAGGCGAACCCGCAGCATTTCCTCGACTTCCCGCGGAGTGCTCCACACGCTGCGCTTCGTGGCTGCGTGGAACCAGTAGCTCTTGCCCTCCGCGCTGCAGAACTCCTGCCAGCCGGTCTTCAGCAAAATCTGCGCTTCTTCCGGAGTCTGCAGCGACAGCGGCTTCCCCCACTGGCTCTCCTGCGTCTGCAGCAGCAGCAGCAGCAGCAGCAGCAGCAGCAGCAGCAGGGGTTTTCGTAGCGGCAGCAGCAGGAGGAGCGGTGTTTGTGGCGGCAGCAGCAGCAGCGGCGTGTTCGTGGACGCAGCAGCAGGGGTAGTAGCAGCAGCAGCAGCAGCGGGATTCGTAGCAGCAGCAGCAGCAGCAGCGGTATCTGTAGCAGCAGCAGCAGCAGCAGCAGCGGTATCTGTAGCAGCAGCAGCAGCAGCAGCGGGGGAGGCGAGGGGGGGAGGCGGCGGTGTGCGGTGTCTGTACAGCTGGCGCGCAGCAGGCGCCGCTGCGGTGTCTGTACACCTCAGCAGCAGCAGCAGCAGCAGCAGCAGCAGCAGCAGCAGCAGCAGCAGCAGCAGCAGCAAACTGCAGCAGCAAACTCACCAAAGTGTTGTAATAATATTTTCTTCCTTCTTTGGAAATGTGTTCAGTCCAGCCATCGCCGCTGGTGATCAAGGAAGGAGTAGCAATGAACGGATCCATTTTCTGCAGCAGCAGCAGCAGCAGCAGCAGCAGCAGACCGCTGCTGCAGCAGCACGCTCCACGCCTGCCAACACCCCCGCTGCTGCTGCTGCTGCTGCTGCTGCTGCTGCTGCTGCTGCTGCTGCTGCCACACCTCCTCACTCTCTGCGCAAGGCCAACTCAAAGACAGAAAGGAAATGCGCGCAAGACGAACTCGCCTGCTGCTCAGCTACGGTTTGCTGCAGACCCCAACCCCTACAGCAGCAGCAGCAGCAGCAGCAGCAGCAGCAGCAGCAGCAGCGCGTTCTTGTTTGCTGCCACCGACTCAAGGCCTACACGGGCGGCCAAAAACTCGCAGACTGCCTCCAGTTTAAGCCCTCACCACCAGCAGCGCAAGCCTTACATGCAAGCAGCAGCAGCAGCAGCAGCAGCAGCAGCAGCAGCAGCAGCAGCAGCAGCAGCAGCGGGAGCTGCAGCGGGAGCTGCAGCAGAGGTCACCTCGAGCAACACTGCATGCGCGCGCTGCGGGCGCCGGTCAGCAGCAGCAGCAGCAGCAGCAGCAGCAGCAAATAAATAAAAACAAAAAGATGAAATAAAAAATAAAACAAAAAACAAAACTTGAAACAAAACTAAATTGAAAATGCGGGGAAGCAAATTGCCTACAACTATGCAAGTTGTTCAGCTCTCCAGGAAACCGCTACGCTGCTGCAGCTGCTGCTGCTGCTGCAGCAGCAGCAGCAGCTGCTGCAGCAGCAGCAGCAGCCTCCCGCCCGTCTGCCCCAACATGGAGAAAGGGTACTGGCTTGAAGATGCATAATCTCAGCAGCAAAAGTGAACTAAGAGAGCTGTGGAAGCAAAAGGCAGCTGCGGTGTTTCTAGGATGGAAGCAGCAGCAGCAGCAGCAGCAGCAGCAGCAGCAGCAGCAGTTCGCCTCGGCCTGGGAACAGCAGTGCGCTACAGGTGCTGGCCTAGTTGCGCTCAAACGCCTCTCCGCTGCTGCTGCTGCTGCTGCAGCTGCAGCAGCAGCAGCAAAAGACACCCCGGGAAGTTGCTTCTTCGCTGCTGCGTGCGCTAACCCAGTGTACATACACCGCAACACGAAACCGCCAACAAAGACAGCCGAAACCCCGCGCAGCAGCAGCAGCAGCAAACCAAATGCTGCTGCTGCAGCTCTCGAGTGAAGAAAAAACGAAAAAAGAAGAAAAGACCTTCGAATTCACTGAGTTGCAACAGGCAAGCGGATCGCGACTGCTCACTGACTGAGACCCGGCCAGCGCGAGAGTGCAGCGCGAAATCAAAAAAAAAGACAAAATGCAGCTTTTAAAAACAAAAGTGAAGATGTATTTGGGAGCAGAGTTGTTGCAAGAAAGTCTGCGTTCGCGAGGTGTACGTACACCGCGCGAGATGCGCAGCTGCCGCGCGCGCCGCACTCACCTGGCCATCGACTTCACTTCTTTTTATTTGCGATTTCCGCTGGTAATGGAAAATGAATTCAGTTTTTGTTTTTCGTTGCTTCGTGGCTGCAGAAAGAGAAGCCAGAGGCCCCAGCGGCAGCTGCTGCTGCCTCCGCCGCTACTCGCGATCCGGCGAACGCCACGCGGAATACGGGCCACCGCGCGCCCCTCGAAGAGGAATACAGTTGAGAATAAAAGTAAAATGCAAAAATAAAATACAACAAATCCAAATTGCAGACTTTGGACCGGAGTTTAAGGCTCAATCCACCCCTTGAGGAATCGCGGAAGCGCAGGCGGCTCCAGCCCCGGCCCCACTGAACCCTGCTGCTGCTGCTGCTGCTGCTGCTGCATGCACTTACCTTTTTTAGTCCTTTCCCCTTTATTTCCCTTTTCTTTTCTATCTTTCTCTTCTCAGCAGCAGCAGCGAAGCCGGCAGCAGCTTTCCGGGCTGCTGCATCTGTCCCCCTGCAGCAGCAGCAGCTCCCTACAGACAGCGCCCGCTGGTCTCTTTCCTCCCAGACAGCAGCAGCTCGTGCTGCTGCTGCTGCTGCTGCTGCTGCTGCTGTCCTGCATCTGCCGCTGCCTGCTGTGTGCTGCTCTCCGCCTGCTGCTGCTGCTGCTGCAGCTGCTGCTGCGCTGCTCTCACAAATTTGACCCCAGTAATACCTCTGCAGATCTGCAGCAAAAACATGGAGGGGCCCCCTGCACTGGGGGGCCCCCCCGTTGGGGGCCCCCCCTCGGGAGGCGTGGGTTATGAAGGCCAAATCCCCTTTACCGAGCAGCAGCAGCAGCAGCAGCAGCAGCAGCAGCAGCAGCAGCAGCAGCAGCCCTTTTATGCGTCTCACCCGGGTAGGCTTCTTTTTCTTTTAGCTTCGACTTATGCTGCCTGTGGCTGTCTGCCAGCTTCTTGTTAGGTAAATGCAGACTAAACTGCTGCTCCTCTTGCTGCTGCTACTGCTGCTGCTGCTGCTGCTGCTGCTGCTGCTGCTGCTGCTGCTGCTGTACGGCTTTGTGCCTCTACTGCCCTGCTGCAGCACTGCCGCGGCTGCTGCTGCTGTTTCCCTCTTGCTGCTGCACTGCTGCTGCTGCTGCACTACCGCTATTTGGGCGCTCGTGCCGCTGCCGCCCTGCTGCTGCTGCTGCACTGCTGCTGCTGCTGCACTGCTGCTGCTGCTGCTGCTGCTGCTGCTGCTGCTGCTGCTGCTGCAGCTGAGGACGCGGGGACTGAGTTTTACATAATTCGTTCTTGTTCGGAGTACAATGTGGAAGTCGCCAGGCGTTTGGGCGTCTGGGCCACAATCCCCAGAAACGAGGCCAGACTTGCACAGGCAGCCAGAGTGAGCTAGCTAGCTAGCTAGCTAGCTGGCTAGCTAGCTAGCTAGCTAGCTAGCTAGCTAGCCATTTAATTAGCTAGCTGGAGGACTATTTAACTAGCTGGCTAGCTAGCTAGCTGGCTGGATGGCTGGCTAGCTGGACAGCTGTTTAACTAGATAGGTGGCTGGCTAGCTAGCTAGCTAGCTAGCTATCTGGCTAGCTGGATGGCTAGCTAGCTAGCTAGCTAGCTAGCTATCTGGCTAGCTAGCTAATCATCTAACTAGCTAGCTGGGGAACTATTCAGCTAGCTAGCTAGCTAGCTAGCTGGCTGGATGGCTAGCTAGCTGGATAGCTATTTAACTAGCTAGATAGCTAGCTAACTAGCTAGATAGCTAGCTAGCTAGCTAGCCAGCTAGCTAGCTAGCCAGCTAGCTGGCCATCTACTAATCTCGCTAGCAGGCTAACTGGCTACCTAGCTCGCCAGGTGGCTAGGCGGCTAGCTAGCTAGCTAGCTGGCTAGCTAGCTAGCCAGCTAGTTTATTTATTTATTTATTTATTATTTATTTATTTATTTATTTATATTTATTTGCTGGCAGGAGGCTCCTCACGTGCTTCTCTTCTTTCGAGTTCTTTCTTCCCACAACTGGGCGGGCTATGCGCGAATGAAGACAGCCCCGGGTGGGCAAAAAGTGGAAAATAAAAACAAAAAAAAACAAACAAATAAATAAATAAATAAATAAATGAAAAATAAATAATAAATAATTAAAGATGGCAGCTAGCTGAGTTGTTTGGTGGTTTTAAATTCGAAAAATAAAAAAAAATGAATTTCCACTTTTTGCAAATCCGCTGCCGCGGCGCTGCGGTGTACGTACACCTCAGGCGAAGGCTCTTATCCCTCCAGTGTCTTTTCGGGCCGCAGCGGAAGGCCATTTGTTGGATTGTCTTTTGACATAGAGTGGATAAGCAAGTAAGGATTAATTAATTAATTAATTAATTAATTAATTAATTAATTAAATTAAATAAATAAATAAAAAACAATTAATTAAAAGAGTTGAAAGTTCAAAAGTTGGAGAGAAGGAGGCGGGAAGCAGAGGCAGCGCTTTTTGCTTTTTCAATTTGCTGCTGTGGAGTTTTTTTTCTTTTGGCTTTTCATCGTTTTTAATTATTTGCATTAACTGCGGAAGTTCCTGCTGCTGCTGCTGATGCTGCTGCTGCTGCTGCTGCTGCTGCTGCTGCTGCTGCTGCTGCTGCTGCTGCTGCTGCTGGCGTGGGTCTTGATTTGCGGTGTATGCGCAGCTGTTTGATGTGTATGTACACCTGGTGCGCTGCGTGCTGCGTTGGGGTGTACATACACCTGAAGCGTTTTCTTTTCTCGTTCTTGAATTTGTTTGAACTTCACTTTTGTTTCTTTTTAGCAAAAAGAAACAAAAGAGAAACAAATTTGTTTTATTTATTTTTATTTATGGAGTGTACGTACACCTCAGCTGCTGGGGCTGCGGTGTATGTACACCTCCTGCAGGGCTCCCCTCAGCGTTGACTTGACGAGAACTCTTTACAACAAATACAACAATGGCGAGTCCGTCAACAGAGCCATGGACGGCCAAGTAAGCAGCAGCAGCAGCAGCAGCAGCAGCAGCAGCAGCAGCAGCAGTAGCAGCAGCAGCAGCAGCAGCAGCAGCAGCTTCTGCTGCAGCTGCAGCTGCAGCTGCGGGTCTGAGGTGTTTTGCTGCAGAGTTGCTGCACACTATTTTTCTACCACGCGAGTGTGTCTTCACTGCTGCTGCTGCAGCATTATTAATGCCATTAATGCCATCTTTTGAATTAATTGCTGCAAATCCTTTCTTGCTGCTGCTGCTGCTGCTGCTGCTGCTGCTGCACTGCATGCAGCCAGTGGACCCGCAAGCTGGAAGAGCTTTGGCTTATCTTTTTGATGAAATGAGCAGCACAAACAATTCCAGCATAAGTCCCTTTGGGGGCCCCTTCTCGAGGGGCCCCCTGGGGGGCCCCCTGGGGGCCCCCCTGGGGGCCCCCCAGGGGCCCCCCGGCCGCTTGGCGCTGCAGCCAGCGGGCGCCAGGCAGCAGCAGCAGCAGCAGCAGCAGCAGCTGCAGCAGCAGCAGCGAGGGGCGGGGACGGGGCCGCAGAGAAAGAAACAGACGCAAAACAAACGCCAAAACCAAAACGAATCCGCAGAAGGTAACCCGAGGGTTTAGGGTTTAGGGTTTAGGGTTTAGGGTTTAGGGTTTAGGGTTTATGTGGAGTTGTGTTTTACAGAACCGTCAGGAGCTGCTGCTGCGCTGCTGCAGTGCACAGCGCAGCAGCTTTGTTGTTTTCAGATTAAATTTGATTTATTTGCATTTAATTAATTAAATAAATTAAATAAATTAATTTAATTATATTTTTATTTCTATTTTCATTCAGGCGGCCAGCAAAAGGTCCTTTTGGCGCTGCACAATCCCGCGACGAAGATCTTCCCTGTGGACTTGACGGAGATGGTGAGGTGTACATACACCTCAACTTGGAGCAACAGTTTCATTTTAATTTCAATTTTAATTTAATTTTCAAATCTTTAATTATTTTCAGTTTTAATTTAATTTTCAAATCTTTAAAATTGGAATTATCTGAAATTCAAGTTTTGAATCTTCTGCAAATCTCGAGCGGCTTGCTGTCACTTGCGGTGTCTGTACACCTCACTTGTTTCTCGTTTCGGGTGTACGCGCAGCGCAAATATGTTTTATATATATAAATATATAAATACTTATATATATATTTATATTTATATTTGTATTTATATTTATATTTATATTTGTATTTGTTTATATATATGTCTATTTTATAAAATATGTTTTCATGCAAATATGCTGTTTTGATTTGGGGTGTACGCACACCTGATGGTGCCTGCAGTGTTTCCGTGCTTACTTGCGGTGTACGTACACCTCACTGTGAATGGCCCTGAGGTGTACATACACCTGAATCTGAGTGAAGCTGTTTTGAGGTGTACATACACCTGAATCTAAATGGAGCTGTTCCCAGGTGTACATACACCTGAATCTGAATGAAGCTGTTTCTGAGGTGTACATACACCTGAATCTCCTCGAGGTGTACATACACCTGAGTCTAAATGAAGCTGTTGCTGAGGTGTACATACACCTGAATCTGCTTGAGGTGTACATGCACCTGAATCTAAATGAAGCTGTTTCTGAGGTGTACATACACCTGAATCTGAGTGAAGCTGTTGCTGAGGTGTGCATACACCTGAATCTAAATGAAGCTGTTTTGAGGTGTACATACACCTGAGTCTAAATGAAGCAGTTTCTGAGGTGTACATACACCTGGCGTGCATGCAGACGTACGACGACTACATCGAGACTTACGAAGCCTCGCAGGCGCTGTGGCAGCGGGTGTTTCGAAAGCATGGATATCAAGTGGAGGACTTTGCTGCTGCTGCTGCTGCTGCTGCTGCTGCAGCGCCGCAGGAGGCGGCGCTGCAGCAGCAGGGGGTACGTACACCCGAAGCTGCGCAGAGCCCCCGGGGTGTACGTACACCCGAAGCTGCGCAGACACCCCGAGACAGCAGCACCCCACAAGACACAAATGCGCAGCAAATCGAAAGTGCTGCAGCACGAGACACAAGTCCGCAGCGGGGTGTACGTACACCCGAGGCAGCAGCAGAACAGCCCCCAGCTGGAGATACACCTGAAGACGCAAAGCCAGAAACTGCTGCTGCAGACGAAAGCAAAGAGAAAAGGCGAGCTGCTGAGGTGTACGTACACCCCAGCGAGTCGCCTGTGCGGCTCAAGGAAGAGCCAGAAGCTCCTGCTGCTGCTGCTGCTGCTGCAGCAGCGGAGAGTGCAGCAGCAGCAGCGGAGAGTGCAGGAGCAGCCGAGGTGTACGTACACCCCAAAGAAGATGGGGGGAGCGAACAGAAACTCCTTAATGTCAAAACAGAGATTTAGTCAGCAGCGCATTTTAAAAAGAAGGCATAGACAGTCTTTGAGTTTTAATAACAGCAAAAGATTAAATGAATAAAAGCTTCGCGAAGTCAAACGCGCAGCAGCTGCGCAGGCGCTTGCGGTGTACGTACACCTCAGCTCGGAAGGCAAGTAGATACACCCGAAGAATACTTTGCTGCAGATGTGGAGTGAGGGCAAATATATAAATAAATTAATAAAATAAATAAAAGTGGTTTTTTAATTGCACAAAAGATGAACTGAATTAAAGGCGTACAGCTGCAGAGGCGGAGATGCACACATTTGGGGTGTACATACACCCCAGACTGTGCATGCAGCGAGTTCCATTTACCTCCCGAAACATCTTTAAAAGCTTTCATAAATATAAATATGAATTTAAATTCATATTTTATTTATAAATAGCTTTTTAAGAAGTGCATTTTAAGGAAAGTTCTGCTGCAGTTCAGCGCCGGCTGCTGCAGTGGCTTCCTGGGGGCGTGGGAGCAAAAATGCGGAAATAAATAAATAAATAAATAAATTGAATAAAATAAATGAATTAATTTCAATTAAATGACTTAAATGGGACAATTTAAATCAAATGATGCAAACAGATCAAGTGGAAGTCGAGGAATTATAAAGCGCATGCAAGTCTGTGCTCGCGGAGTACATACACCGCGTGAAACAGCAAAAAATGCAAAATACGAAAAGATCTATTTTAAAATAAATAAAGAATTAATTTATATTTATTTTATGCAAAATGAAATAATTAATTTTACATTAAATAATATGTTTGCACTTTTCTTTATTTATTTATTTTATTTTTATGTTTTGCATGTATTTACAAACAATTAAAGCATTTGTTTATATATTATATTAAATAAATCTATTTTTGAATATTTATTAATTTGGGCACTTTTGCAAATAAATGGAATTCCATTTAATTTAAATTTAAATAATTTCGACTTGTAAATATAAATTAAATTAATTAAAACATTCCAATATTTAAATACTTTTATTTTTAAATAAATATAAATGGACTTTTCTTATTTATAAATATATTTATAAAATACTTATTACACAAATTTACTTTCATTTGTTTATATTTATTTACACATATTGTTCATTTATTTATTTTTATTACTGTTTATTTATTTATTACATTTTAATTAACTAACTAACTAATTAATTAATTAATTTATTTATTTATTTATTTATTTATTTATTTATTTATTTACTTTTCACAAGTCAAGGGGCCTTCAGTTGAAGGCGGAAGAGCTTTAGGCAGCAGCAGCTTCAAAATGAAATTCTTTTATTTCTTAAAATTCTCAGCAGCAGCAGCAGCAGCAGCAGCAGCAGCAGCAGCAGCAGCAACTTCAGCAGCAGTCTCAGCAGCAGCTCCAAAAAAGAATTGTTTCACTTATTTTTTGTATTTCTTCTTTCTCCCTACAGCCTGCAGCGCGGCAGATTGCTGCTGCTGCTGCTGCAGCAGTTGGTGCTGCTGCTGCTGCAGTCGCAGCTGCTGCTGCAGCTGCTGCCGCAGCTGCTGCTGTTGCGGTTGCTGCTGCAACTGCAGCACCCTTCCAACGGGCGAACAGCTCAAGGATCATGGGACATATCGATGCTGCTGCTGCTGTTGCTGCTGCTGCTGCTGTTGC